ATTCCCCCCCGACTTCACTTCACAGGAAAAATCAATTATCTGCCCTATGTGTCCTTTTAAAAAATGGATCCTGTGTAGTTCTTTTCTGATTGTTGAAAAGCAATTTCAGAATTAAAAGTATTTGGAAAATAATAAAATTTATTGCTCTCAAGCACACCATTGAGAAATAACCAAGACCAAAATGTTATAAATTTTTAATCTTTCTTCTATGCACATGTGTATGAATATACAACTTTCCAAACAAAATTGGTATTTACTATATACAGTTTTACTTAATATTATTTAAAGTTTTCAGTTTTTGAAAGCATGCCTTTCATGCTTCATAGCAGTCCATGTTATGATCATACCATGATTTATTTAAGTATTCAACTTGCTAACTAAGGTGGTTTCCTGTTTTACTTTTAGACATAATGCTTCAGCAAACATCCTTGAACACAGAGGGTAGATGGGGAATAAGGGACATTATAGATCTCTGAATCCAATTGCTCTAAGAGTTTACCCATTCCATTCTGTTACAAGCAATTTCAATTTTCACTCTCTTGGAAAGTGTCACAGTAGACAGTTAAAATGTACAGTGTGGGGGCTGCCACTTTTGCTGATAATATATTCTTTTTCAATATCTACTATGAGCCTAAACCAAAAGTCCAGAAAAAAATATATTGGAATTTTTTTTATTTGATCTCAATAAAAACTATGCAGAGAATGATACAGCCTATAAATATTTGAGCCATAAGAATTTTGAACCATCACAAGTACTCAATAAATACTGGTAAATAATAAACTGAGTTAAAGTTGTATCTGTAACTCAAACTATTTGATAAAGCAAGAACACTTAGAAAAGAATTTACTATTCCATGCACCTTCAGGACAAGAGTCACATTTTTAAAAAATCTCTGTAAACATACACGTTTGCTTAGAGATTTGTTTCTAAGATTGTCATAATATCTATGAGAATATCTTTCTGCATCTTAAAAAGTCTACTTCTTGGCCAGGCGTGGTGGCCCATTCCTGTAATCCCAGCACTTTGGGAAGCCAGTGCAGGTGGATCATGAGGTCAGGCGATCAAGACTATCCTGGCTAACATGGTGAAACCCTGTTTCTACTAAAAATACAAAAAAATTAGCCGGGCATGGTGGCGTGCGCCTGTAGTCCCACCTACTTGGGAAGCTGAGGCAGGAGACTCACTTGAACCTGGGAGACGGAGGTTGCAGTGAACCGAAATCATGCCACTGCACTCCAGCCTGGGCGACAGAGAGAGACTGTCTTAAACAAACAAACAAAAAAGTCTACTTCCCAGGCTTGGCACTGTGGCTCACACCTGTAATCCCAGCACTATGGGAGGCCAAGGCAGGCAGATCACCTGAGGTCAGGAGTTCGAGACAAGCCTGGCCAAGATGGCACAATCCTATCTCTACCACAATTACAAAAAAATTAGCTGGGCATGGTGATGGGCACCTCTAATCCCAGCTACTTGGGAGGCTGAGGCAGAAGAATTGCTTGAACCTGGGAGCAGAGGTTGCAGTGAGCCAAGATCGTGCCATTGTATTCCAGCCTGGGTGACAGAGCAAGACTCTGTTTCACAAAAAAGAAAAAAGAAAAGAAAAAAGTCTACTTCTCAAACTTTTGAAGTATCAGGGCAGTGATTACTCCTGTGAATGGCAGCAACTGGAAAGCAGCCGGAGAGTTTCTGGGGACCCAGGAATAATTGTGGTTTCTCTATAGAGTGCTGATTATGAGGTAGCTGTTTGTGAAAATTCATCAAGCTGTACACGTATTTTTATGTTTTTCTGCATACATACTATACATCACACTAAAAAAGTCCACTCCCTTACCCCATTATACCTCTGGGTAATCTGACAGATTATGAATTAACATATTTAGTAAAAGATGAATTGGAAACCACCTCACCTCTAACAACACCAGTTTTACTGCTTATATGAGACATTCTTAGTAATGTTCTTTAGTTTATAACATTCTAAGGAAACAATACATACACATCTTGCAGACTTTTAGTATAAAGATAATATAACCAATTACTTAAATTCAGTACTTCAAATCAGTAAGTAGTTACTAAGTACTTACTAAATCCAAGATACCACAGGGGCTTCTTTAATGCTGTACAGATTTATGGAGTAAGATATCATAGAGAAGAACTCAAAAACAGCCTTTGGAAATCTGGCAGCTGACATGGATTCTTTTTAACATTTTACTTCAGTTATTGGGAAAAATGAGTAGATGCCATACTTTTAGCATCTTGGAAAATGTTTCCTAGAATAAGTAGGTGTCAAAACTTGTCATAAATTTGTATCATTGTAGATAAATGGGTAGACAGAAGGGCAAACCAAGCAGCTGGAAGTGCATGAACAAAGGTGCGGAAGCAGGGGAGCATATGGCAAGCAATGAGTCACTAAAAGCAAATATTCTGGCTGAATGGGTGTGCCTATTTCATATCAGAATTTTTTTCTGAATCCAAGCTGCCAGAGAAGCTGGCACAACGTGAATCGCCTTCCTTTCCTACTCACAGAGATAAATGTTGTAGCAGCTCTGCCTGGCTACACAAAAGCCATAAGACATCCTTTTCAAAACTATTGTTTTGGAATCTGGACCTGAAATGTTTTAGAAAGATATCCAGTTAAGTCACATTTTCTCACGTACATCAGCATGAATGCTTGGAGCCCTGCTGGTAGTGATAACCACCACTAGCTTATTTGTCAACAAAGGCAGACAGTGCATTTGTCACAGGCAGAATAATACCCAATCTCCCAAGATGCCTGCATCCTAATCCCCAGAACTTGTGAATGTGGTACCTTACATAGCAAAATGGATTTTGCAGATGTTCATTAAGGGTACGGGCCTTGGGATGAGGCAGATTGTCTTGGATTATTTGGGCAGGCCCAATCTAATCACATGAGTCTTTAAAAGCAGAGAACGTTTCTCTGCTGGCTCAGAGAGATAAAATAGAAGGAGGAAGAGGAAAGATTCAAAGTATGAGAGGGGCTTGACCTACTGTCGCTGTCTTTGAAGATGAAGGAAAGGAACCATGAGTGAAGGAGTGCAGGTGGCCTCTAGAAGCTGGGAATGGCCTTCCCTTTATATCCAAGAAGAAAATGGAGATCTCAGGCCTACCACCAAAAGGAACTGAATTCTGTCAGCAATCCAAATGAGCCATGAAAAAGATTATCCCCTAGAGCCTCCAGAAAGGAACACAGTCCTGCTATGTTGACTTTAGTCTGATGAGACCTGTGCAAAACTTCTGACCTACAGAACTGTAAGATAATAAATTTGTATTATTTAAGTTGCTGAACATGTGGTGGTTTGGTATGGGAGCAATACAAAGCTAATGTAGGCTTGGATAGTTTTATTCCATATGGGATGTTCTTATCACATTGCCCTTGGATTGCCCACAAGAGAGACAAGCTATCATTTGGGAGATGCAGCAGGTTTGGGGGTGTGGGGCAGGCAGAGTTTGTTTGGGGGGAGAGATCAATGTTGATTTTACAGTTCTCCTTAAATAAATTTTCCCTCCAATAGCATATACATATTAAATGTTAGTCAAATATTTAGTGTAGCAGCTTAAAAAGAAAAACACTACAAAAATAAAAATACTTAAGATTCTGCCAATAATGATGAGCAGGGATATCTTTGTCTTAACCCTTCCTAATATACTGGGGCCCAGAGATTACTGAAATAGACATGAAATAATGCCTAGCAATTAGATGCAGTAGTTGTTTTTTGTTTTTTTGTTTTTGCTTTGTGTGTGTGTGTGTGTGTGTGTATTTTGTTTGCTTGTTTTTGAGAGAGTCTCGCTCTGTTGCCCAGCCTAGAATGCAGTGGCATGAGCTCAGCTCATTGCAATCCCTGCCTCCTGGGTTCAAGAGATTCTCTGCCTCAGCCGCCCAAGTAGCTGGGATTACAGGCTCGTGCCACCAAGCCCAACTAGTTTTTATAATTTTAGTAGAGATGAGGTTTCACCATATTAGTCAGGCTGGTCTTGAAACCCTGATCTCAAGTGTTTCCCCTGTTTCAGCCTCCCAAAGTGCTAGGATTATAGGAGTGAGCCACCATGCCCGACCAGGTGCAGTTTTTATTAGTCATAAAATCAACATGTGGAGCATATTTTAAATGCAGATTCCTAGGTCTCGACCCAAAGAGTCTCACTCAGAAGTTTTAGGATGAGGCCCAGGAATCTGAATGAGATCGAAAACAAGGATTTCTGATTTTTTTCCTCTAACAAACGGTTAATACTGCTGAAGCACTCACCACTTCTCCCACCAACTACCTGAGACCTCTGCTATGCTGATCAAGACCCCAAGTGCAAATCTTGTCAGAAGTTAGCCCAGAAGCTAGCCCATCTAGCAGACTAGATGATTAAGGACATAGCTTTGATATGAGTAGACTTGGATTTGAGTCTGCTCCTGCCTCTCAGTTAAGTTCTCTGTGCCTCAGTTTTCTCATCTGTATAAAGGGAAGGAAAGACCTACCTGCCCATAGGGTTATGATAGATTAAGCACAGTTCTTGGAACAAGGTAACTATTCAGTTACTGAGATTATCACTACAAGTATAATTCCATGTTCAGATGAAATCAGAGGCAGCTTGAATTCTTTAGCATTTTTTTTATTTTCCTGTAACAGTGTCTGGAAAGACTAAACATTTAATAGAAACAAGGTTCCATTCTGGACTGCAAGGAATTAAGTGTGTTTACAAGAGGTTGGCATCCATGTCTAGTTAAGGCTATATGTACCCAAACAGGTATAATTTTATTCCGAACCTCTAAAAAGGTTGTCTGAAGCAAAAAAAATTCTTCCTAATTACAAACACTTTGGAAATGTATCTTTTTTTAACCTTAAAATATGAAATGCCAACTGTATGGATTATTGTGACAAGTGCTTGCCATCACTGGCTGTTTTAGTGGCTAACTGGGCAAGGCTCCATTGTGATTTGAAGGCGGTTGCAACTCAAGGTGAATATGAAGGACATAAATAATTGTGTCACTGGCTGTGTGTGGTGACTCATGCCTGTAATCCTAGCACTTTGGGAGGTCAGGGCAGGCAGATCACCTGTTGTCAGGAGTTCAAGAACAGCCTGGCCAACATAGTGAAACCCCATCTCTACTAAAATACAAAAATTAGCTTGGCATGATGGTGGGTGCCTGTAATCCTAGCTACTCGGGAGGCTGAGGTGGGAGAATCGCTTGAACCTGGGAGATGGTGGTTGCAGTGAGTTGAGATTGTGCCACTGCACTCTAGCCTGGGTGGCTGAGCGAAACTCTGTCTCAAAAAAAACAAAAACAAACAAACAAAAAAAAGCTGTGGGCCAGGTGCGGTGGCTTATGGTAATCCCAGCACTTTGGGAGGCCGAGAAGGGTGGATCATGAGGTCAAGAGTTCAAGACCAGCCTGGCCAACACAGTGAAACCCCGTCTCTACTAAAAATACAAAAATCAGCTGGGTGTGGTGGCAGGCGCCTGTAATCCCAGATACTTGGGAGGCTGAGGCAGGAGAATCACTTGAACCCAGGAGGTGGAGGTTGCAGTGAGCTGAGATCATGCCACTGCACTCTAGCCTGGGTGACAGAGCCAGACCCTGCCTCAAAATAAATAAATAAATAAATAAATAAATAATTTTTAAAAATTGTGTCACTAAACAATACACACAAGTCAACATGAAAATGAATAGGTACAAAAAGCAAATAGCACAGCAGTCCATGCTGATGACATGATCACAGTCAAATGGCCTGTTGTTGGGGTAACAACTAGAAAAACAGATCAGAGACTAAATTTTTAATTAACGATATAGAAAAAAAAGCGATCAATTGTAAAGCAAGAAAAATACCTATTTTTTTCCTATATCATTTAGTGTTCTTTCTCTTCTGCTAGTGTGTACCTTCCTCCATTACTCTTTTTTCTCGACTTTATCCTTTATACAAAAGGTAGAAAACATTATCAAATGAGAAAAGGGGCATCTGAAGAAAAGTCTTCGTTTGCTCCTGCTATTTTTTTTAAGACTATCAGCTTTCAGACTACAGGGCAGGCTTATCCATTGGGGGATACCTTATCTTTATGTTTCCTTGAGGACCTATTATCAAAGCAGCACCTCTGGCCTCTTTGCACTTCTTTCTCACTGTCCTCCATAAAAGGGGAATCGATTTACCTCACTGGAAAGATGGTGTCTTGGGCCCACTGAACCTCACTCCTCTACTGGAATGGTTCTCAGACTTTAAACGTAATTGAATCACCAAAAGGGCTTGTTAAAACATAGATTCCTGGGTCCATCCTCCAGAATCTTTAATTCAGTTTGACTGGAAGGGAGATCAAAAGTCTGCATGTCTAGTAAGTTTCAAGGTAATGCTAAAGCCGCTTGTCTGAGGACCACACTTTTAAAACCACTGCTATACTGAATGGAATTGAAGTGGGTTTCTGCAGAGTGGGGTGGGGTAAAGTGCTAAACATCACTGTCCTTACATGATTTGCCCCTTACCTCTTTAGCAACTGCTTGTCCTCAGGACATAAGCTCTCTTCCCCCTCCATGGGGTAAAGACCCAGAGGCAACTGTTCAGGGGGTTTGCCTGGGATGTGGTGAGTAGACATTAAGCTTCTGGGAAGGATATTAGGAAGGCCATTTGACCACAGGCCCAGGCTGCAATCCTGGTCCAGCTCCACCAGGAATAAAGTTGACATTTCAAATTCCACTTGAGAGACCTGTATCTATTCCTCGGTTGGTTCAAAGAATAAAGGAAAGAAGAGTCTGAATTGTCAGGCCCCTCAAGTAAGAGCATCCATCATGATCATGACTGTGGAATGATCAGAAATATAACTAGGAATTCCAAAGTCTGTGACCTCACTCTGGAAGCAGAGTGACCCTGTCTTATCTCAGCCATAATGCGGAAGCCACATGACATCATCTGTATATAGTGAATAATGTTCTTGCTCCTGTGGAACATGCTTTTGCCACCAAAGTAAGGTAAATGAAGAGAAGATACAGGGTCTTCAGGAAATTCAGCCTACATTACTTCTCTGGGTCAATCATCAGCAGTTGTCCAGATCACGCTGGCTGCCTCAACAGCTTCCTTCCCATTCACAACTAAGCCAAGCCATGGGACTATTCTTCAGTGCCCTGGGCACCTCTTAACCACCCCCACTCTACCCTCCTTTTCCATCCTTGGGTCTGGCAGCTCTGTTTCTGTTCTGTGTTCTGCCTACCCTACCCAGACCCTACAGATGGATGCTTCTGTCTCAATTTTCAAATGACACCCTGCCTTCAAACCCCGTAGCACAGCCAGGCTTGCCTCACCTCTGCCCAGCCCCACCCCCTGCCACAGTTCTTGAAATCCCCAACAGCATTCAACACTTCCAGTCACTCTTTCTCCAGGAAGGAAATCTAGACAGCGAAAGATTTTCCAAAGAGCAGAAGAATTAAAACACACCCTTCTCCACAAAACAGAAAAAGAAAGCAGCAGGTGGAACCCACGCCAGGTCTCACACTCTGCAGCCGCCATACTCCTGGGGCACCCATCACAGGCTCTTGTAACTCCTCCTTCACGAAACTAAGAGCCTCTCCCGGCTGCCAAAGGTATAAAATGGCACCCATGGGCCAAACACTGCCTGGACACATGTCCTCTGTGGCTCAATGACTGTTGGATTTTTTTAAATTTTGGAGCAAATATATAAAAATTAGGAGATTAGCATAAAATTCAGATTTCTGTTTCTTCATTTAAAATCAGAATATCTGGCAATACTGTGCCCACATGCCTACATGGTAACACTGGGCTGAGCCAGGGATGCTGTACCCTTTAGATAATGTGTGAACCTTCAAGTCTGGCACAGGCCTTGTGATTCCCTGCCATCCCCGTTCTCTCACTGCCTTCTTCCCCAGAACATACCTGAACGACCACCTGCTTCTGCACACATTTCCACCCTTGGTAGTTAAGCATAAGCTCTACTGCCTGCTGCTGCTAATTTCCTGAGCTATCCCTGATCTGTAATTACAGGGTATGGTGCTGTTAAGAGAAAAAACATATGTATTCTTTTTCCTCCTCAGCTGGTGGTTGCTTCCATTCTCAGTCATGAAACTGTATTTGTACAGATCATGAACAAATGGCAAATCCCAAAGTGGCCTGACTAACAGAAGGTGAGGAGAGAGATGGTAAAAGGACTCAAAACAAAAAGACAATCCTTTTTGTAACATTTCTAGTTTCTTAAAAGATCCATACTAATGAAAGAAAAGGTAGTCATATCCTGTATTGTTATAGGACAGAAATTCCATAATCAGAACTTACCAGTGATAAGTTTACAGTGTAGTTAATTTTTAATTAAACATAAAGCAAATAAAAGTATGTTGTGCTTGGTAAGACCCTGTCACCTGTTAGTCCTCTTCATTTAGCCATAAGCTATATTGTAATAGCTTAGAGTAGAATTTTTCCTAACAGGAAACAATCACAGTGCAATAAAAGGATACAAAGATCTTTTCTTTTCTCGAGTCATCTGTTATTTGCATGTACAATGAACTGGTTGAAGATACTACTATGTTGTCCTATGACCTCAGTGTCACAGCAAGAGACACACCCCAGATTGGCACAAGTGTGTGTACCTTCTGAATTCCTGGTCTTTGCCAATAAGATTAGATTAGTGAGTTACTGTCAAGGTAAATGATACTTGCTTTCAAAATCCTTCCTTCTCTTTCATACCACTTTCCTTCTAAGACCAGAACTTATTTTTTTTCTTCTTTTCTTTTTTTCTTTTTTTTTTTTTTTTTTTTTT